TTTGAATCATATTTTTGTTATCATAAAAGAAAATATTTACAAAATATTGTCGAAATCATTTTAATAACTAGACTCAAGTTACTAGAGATAAAAATGGGAACAAATTCCTAATCACTTTATCACCACTTTTAACGACTTTTATTGGAAAAATTGTTGAAAACTTTTTAAACTTTTTTTTGAATGTTTATAAAAGGGTCCAACAAAATTAACTCAATGTTTGTAATCAATAATTTTTCATAGACATCTGTCTTAATCAGTGTTGTTGAAAATTTTCCAATATTTAATAAATTATATTAATATACACGAGTAAAGTTTTCCAAAGGTTAGCCTTTTGAGACTCATATATAAGTAGTTTAACCAGTTTAAAAGTCTTTAGTCTTAAGACTCTTAACTGTTAAACCTATTATATAGGAATTTATTGGAAATTTGAAATTTGAAGTTTGAGTATTGGAAAGTCGTGGAAAACTATTTGTCATTTTGAGAGGTATTGAGTTGGATATTCATTTCAGTGTTCAATTTAACACCAAAAACAAAAGTGTCACAGATCATGAACGGCGAGTTAAATGGCAATCATGTCATACAATCAATGGATTATAATACAAATGATAATAATAATAGACAGACAGTAAGACTACGAGCGGCCACCTATTTATCGCCCAGTATTCCCATCGAGTATTTTGAGGTATGAGTGAATTTCTATCAAAAATAGTTATACAACTTTGATAAATAGGTAATTATAAACTATTTATGTATACAATAAAATAGATTATTCTGGATTACCTGAAAACACGGTTGGGTTACATCGACACGAGTTTGCGATACGAGTCCAACACACGTAACATAATTCAAGTCTTTGCCGACAATGAGATAGATATCGGTATTTGTGTATTGAGTCCAACATTTATTTTTAAAAATAATTTTTATATTGACGTCTATATCAACAAATAAATGACATATTTATTTGCCATTGATTGATAGCGTGGATCAGTGGCACATCCCATATACAACTGGCACAGAAAGGAAAGGCTGCTCTACTGCCGGTGTCATCCGTGCACATACATCCCGACGCTGCGGACAGTGCC